TGCCATTTTTGAACCACTTCAGGGTGATGTCTCGTGGGGAGAAGCCATGGGACTCACAGGTGAAGTTCACCGTCTGGTTAGCTGTGACCCTTACCGCGGGGCCCGTTACCACAGGGAGAGAGGGTTTGGCTACAAAGGAGCATTTATAAACAGGAGACGTGATTGCAACGACCATCAGGAATGATAAGTATGTGACACTGTCACGGATCGTCACAAGACAGTATTTTTTAGTCCTTCCGATAACACTGGGGAGGTGGTGTCCTTATCCTCATTTTACAGAGCAGGACGCAAAGGCTCCCAGAGGGGACAGACCAGCCGAGGCCAGACAGTGAGTGGGGGCAGGGCCCAGAGGGATTCCAGGCCTGAGTTCCAAGCCCTTCTGTCTGCACAGGGGATTTCCACCCCTCTCGGCACAGGAACAGGATTATTGATTGGTCTCACCCTTGGTATTAACTGTTCCTAGCTGGCCTCCCCGGGACACCTCCCAACCCCAGAGAGGGTGACTACAGAAGTCAGTGCAGGAACAAGCGGGAAAGTGGCACTGCCGTGAGAGCTGGCACCAGGCTGGCCAGCCCATGAGAGAGGTGGCCTGGCACATCCAGCTCCTCATCTGTGAAATGGGACAGCAGCGTTTCTCCCTCCCCGGGTGCAGCAAGGCAATGGAAGCAGTTTTGCTTTGGATAAATCACAAAAGGTGCTTCACAAAAATAAACAAGCACAAGCTATCTTTCACCTAGACTTTACATATATCCAGGGCTTTTCTTTTGGGTATTTATGAATTTATTCTGTATTTTTCATTCTTTCCACAAACATTCCTGTAACGTGTGTGAAAGGAAATGAAGTAATTAAGGCCAAGGCTTGGCAGTGGCGTCAGCAGGTTTGGGAAGGTTGTACTCGCACCTGCTGAAGGTCAAACCACAGAATGTTCCCATAGACCTGGATACGACTGAAGTCAAAGTGCGGGGATTTCAACATCTCTCAGCTGGGAGGACTCTAACTAAGTAACCATTCAGAACAGCTTTGCAGTTTAGGATTTCTGCCCAGCCAATGAACTGCCTCCAAAAACCTTCTGTGGAAATCCCCCGTGCAAAACTTCTACACTCACCTTATGGGACACTATTCAGGGCTGCCCTGACTCAGTGTACCTGAATTGCAATTCTTTGTTTCCCAAATAAGTGTCATTCCCTTTGACCTCCCTATCCTTCCTTCCTTCCCCCTACCTTCCTTCCTTCCTCCTTCCTTCCTTCCTTCCCCTTCCTTCCTACCTTCCTTGCCCCTTCCTTCCTACCTTCCTTTTCTTTTCTTTCTTTCTCTCTCTCTCTTTCCCTCCCTTCCTTCCTTCCTTCCTTCCTTCCTTCCTTTCAGGTCTAATCCGTGCCAAGACCTGAATTGAAAGGGAAAAGCATTTTCTGGAATATGGGTCTTCTTTTCGGTCAGGTTTGGATTGAAAACCCGAATCACCGAGTACTGAAAAAGCTAAAGGTGGTTAATTTCTTAAACATTAATTAATTACAAGAGACACAGACACAGGCTCACTAAGCAGGCAGAAGCTCTTCCTGGGCCCTGAAAGCACATAAATTGTAGCATCAGAAAAATCAGTGCACTTTCTTCCTGTAGATGGGTCCTAAAGGTTATCTCCCAATTGCTAATTTTTATCGTGTACCCTCTGTAGTAAATATCACAAATATTAGCATTTGTAAACATTAACTTGCTCCCTAACACCCGTCAAACATTTTGAGGGCACAGTAAGGAGGGGCAACTGAAGAAAGCAAAACAACAAGAAAAAACAACCCGGAAATCCCCAAAAAGAAGGGAAACCGGAAACAAGTCCCCCCCCGAACCCGAAAACCGCCGGCCCCTCCGGGCCCCCAACCCCGGGAACCCCCCCCAACCCCAGGAAGGGGCCCCAGCCGAACCCCCTTAAGGGGAAAACCAAAAAAGAACCCCGCCGGCCAAAAACCAAAAAGGGAGAAAAAACCCAACCTGGTAAGATGAGTGAGGAAAAATGCAAACACAGAGCCTGGTATATAGTAGGTGCTTAATAAAGAACACCTATGACTGTTGTCATGAGATCCGGTCACCACTGGTTCTGAAACTACACATTTATTCTTTAGGCAGCAGAACAAAGCAGAGCGGAAACTCCAAGAAAAGTCCCAAGTCCTGCTCCCTGCAGCTGCCATGAAAACCCAAGCGATGGCAGGACA